ACACACACACACATTATTCAGTCATAATGAAATCTTGCCATTTTGACAACATGGATGGACCTAGAGGGTATTATGCTAAGTGAAATATGCCAGACAGAGAAAGACAAATACTGTATGATCTCATGTATATATGGAACTTAAAAAAAATACACACCAGGTTCATAAATACAGACCACAAATTGGTGGTTGCCAGAGCTGAGGGTGGGGGAGTGTATTGGGAGGGCTGGGCAAAATGGGTAAAGAGAGTCAAAGGTACAAACTTCTAGCTATAAAATAATTAAGTCACGGAGATGTAATGTACAGCATGGTAACTATAGTTAACAACACTATTGCATATTTGAAAGTTGCTACAAGAATAAATCTCAAAAGTTCTTATCACAAGAAAAACAATTGTAATTATGAATGGTGACAGATATTAACTAGACTTATACACAAATATCAAATCATCGTTATACACCTGAAAATGTTATGTCAATTATGCCTCAGTAAAACTTACTGTGACTTTCTACAAATGATACTTATAAGCAATATACCTTCCCTTAAGAAAGTAAATTAATTACCTAGTTAATTACATCGTTTTATGAATTAGTAAGTCATCACTGTTTCTATAACTTCTTTAAAAGTAAAACCTACTTAATAGTAAAAATTCAAATAAAATTAAAGCAGGTTAAAAAAAAACCTATTCAACTAAATGTTATGATAATAAAGGACATATTTTTAAAGGGTTCTTTACCAACATTGTTCTCAGCTTTGTAAAACAATGCTCTTGTCACTGTATATGCCCCGGGTTTCTGTATGTGTAAAGTAAAAGTGCAAAGGGTAAAAATGTATATCCATTCCATCACCATTAGTAAGTTAAGCCAGCCTGTCAGCATTGCCTGGCTAGAAGGTAATAACTTTTAAAGAACATTTTCTAATTATACAGCAAAATATAAGCAAATTAGGGGGTGTCCAGGAGTGCAGGGATCCAAGCTGTGAGAAGTCTTCAAGCCATGTCCTCCCTCCACGTCCATGGCTCCCCTTCCTCTGCCAGTCCATTAGATCTCCCATGTCCCCTGTTCAGCTGGGCTTTTTTTTTTTTTTTTCGATATCTCTGCTTACACATCTATACATAGGTTCTATGCAAGTATATTCCCCCTGGATGATTTTATCCACTGCCTATTTTTAGTTTTGACTCCCAAAAGACCTTAGCCCCTAGATTCTCTCACATCCAACTGCAGCCATCATCCTTTGACTCCTGTGCCTTGGTGTGTGCTGCCTCTCTGCCCAGAACAGTCTAGCAATGTAGGCTAACTGGCACACCTACACCTATCTCAGGTGCCATTCTCCCAGAAGGCTAATACAAGTGTCTCCATTACCTGTTACTGTAATGCCCTGGGTATCTCCCTTTCTTTACAATGTAGCCTGCTATATTGTAATAATCTTTGTATTATATTATAGTCATTTTTTTTCTGAACGGCTGGTCAGCAATCATAATAGGCTTCACACATAATATATACTCAATAAATTGTTAAACAAAAAGGTTGCATTTTAAAATTTGCGTGGCTGTACTTAAGCCATTAATCTTGAACTAGGTTGTCTGGAGGGAGGGATGCAAATCAAGGTTTTAACCTGAATGGTTAATAAGCTTTAGCTATTTATTACTCTCTCCCCTGTTATAGATTGAGTTGTGGAGTCTTGTCATTGGTAAAAGAGCCACTAAACGTTTTTTATGGCTTGCTATCAGAAAAGCCATAGGATTGCTAGAATGCCATGCTTTTCTATTTCAGTAGGTCCCATAATTATTGCAACTCACTCAAAATCCAGTTGAACATGGAAATAAGAATAATTACTATTTGCTGAGCATGTTTCTACATGGGAAACTCTAGTGCCCTCATTCACATTAACTCAATGAATCCTCTGCAAAATCCACTGATATAAACTCTACTATTATGCCCACTTAATAAATAAAACTGAAGTTTAAAGAAATTGAGTAACATTTCCCAAATCATCTAACTAATAAGGAGCAGAGTGGATGTGAACTTAAATCTTGTTCCAGAGAGCTGGAGTCCTTAGGCACCATGGTATATGACATTGCAAGGGCATTTGTGAAGCTTGCATATAGTAAGCCAGTCATCACAAATTATGGTGACAGACTAAACCTTTTGATTCCAGGCAGGCAAAACTAAACAGACCAGTTCTCAGAGACACAAAGACAAGACTGGCCCCACAGGAAAAGCAAAGCATAAATCCTGCCCAAGTCACAGCCTGCCACATGAATGGCCTATCTTGGCAGGAAAGAGTACATGTGTCTATAAATACAACTATGCATTATAAATGCATTAGAAAAAAATCAGAATTCATATCCCACACAGTTCTGCTCTGTCTTCTTCTACGTGGTCTTGTGCTTGAAGCAATACTGTCCTTTTAAATTAACAATCATATGTTGGCAAGAGCTGTTTGTTCATCAAGGATTGCAGGCTGCATTGATCTTGCAGGAGGTACGCATTTTTAACTGCCAATAAATTATTCAGGTTCTAAAAATCATCCCAAACAGAAATGCTGCAACAGAAATGGTGAGAGACTGATTGAGCCTTGCAGCAGGAAAAGTATTTGAGAAGAAACAGAATCCTTAGGGCAGTGGAGATGGCATGGGGAGGGCGCTGTTACTGTACTTAATATTTTGCCTGTTTTGCTCTTCAGGTTAACAGAGTTAGATAGACTCCTGTGATCTTCAGAGGGAAAGGAAAAATTGCCTTTTTTTTCTTCTTATAAATGTCTGGTGGCCCTTGTTTTTATTTTGTCACCATTTTGGGAACAGTCTTTCAGGTCCCCCAAATCTTATAGGAAATTAAGAAAGACTTAAATGTCAAAACCAGCACTGGTTATCTCCATTAGATAGATAGATAGATAGATAGATAGATAGATAGATAGATAGATAGATAGATAGATAGATAGATGATAGATAGATATAGATATAGATAGATATATCTATATCTATACATATATGCCTAATGTGTATATAAACGAACAATCTGTCCTCAAAATTGGTGTTATGACTGTTTCACATATGAAGAAGCTTTCTGTGTGGAAGGTAGGAGTGGAGTAAATAGCTGTGGATATCTAGGCACCTACCCATGGTACCCTTGGGGTCTATTGTCTCCAGAATATGGGGGCAATAATCTGACTCCTAACAGAAGTGTGTGTAGCCTGATCTTTGTATACCTCAAAAAAGATGACCATGTGGGAGAAATAATCCCAACATTCATTGCACAAACAGCAGAGAGACACAAGTGTCAGTGGAAGCTGAAGGTGAATCCTTTCTCTGATATTATTTATTTGTTCATTGTTCTGCCTGTCTTCAGGTACTGAGAAAAAGAAGTGAGCTCCAAAAGAGTGGAAATCTAGTTGGCCTTATTCACAGCTGTACTCCTCCATCACCTAATATTGTACATGGCATATTTAAAAGTTCAATAAATATTGGGGAAGAAATAAAGAAAGTCCGTGTGGGAAAAAGCGCCACCCATTACTAAGGATGAAGAAATACCATAATGTTTTTCAGGAAGACTTTAACTCTGACTCATAGGAAGGATGACTCCAAAGATGTGAGAACCTGTCTTGTGGGCCCTGTGGGCTTTAATGAAACTTGTGGGAAAAGGTGAAATGGAAGGATCCGTTAAGGACAGAACAGGATGGCTAGTGTTTAACTTATTAAAAGTGGATTCCTGATCTGAAATGTGTTACTGCCGGCATTTCAGTCATTTATCCTTATTTCGGGATCCCTGGGTGGCACAGCGGTTTGGCGCCTGCCTTTGGCCCAGGGCGCGATCCTGGAGACCCGGGATCGAATCCCACGTCGGGCTCCCAGTGCATGGAGCCTGCTTCTCCCTCTGCCTGTGTCTCTGCCTCTCTCTCTCTCTCTCACTGTGTGCCTATCATAAATAAATGAATTAAAAAAATTAAAAAAAAATATATCCTTATTTCACGTTTACTAAAGCACTGCGGTACAACTAAGCGATGCGACCCCTATGGGACTGTTGGAATGAGGTCATTACTCCAGGCCAGTGGGGGAACCTAAGAGCATTCAAGCAAGTTATTTGTTGTTAGGAAGCAAAATCAAACTAATTACATTTCCAAAGAAGTACAGTATGCTGGGGACAAGAGCATCATGAGAAAATCGTTTTTAAAAAGCTCCTAAGCATAAGTAACTCATGACTAAAGACACTGCACTGTTACGCAACATGGGTGTTGGGGGAACAAATTTACTCATGACTCCTGCTTCTGTATTACACATATCACTGGAGGTTCCCCTCATTTTAAAGAAATGTGAACATAAATGTGTATATTAAAATCACCTGCTATCCAAAACATGAAAACACAACAGCTACCAGGCTGAGAAAAAAAAAAATCTGTTGACACTGTCTACTTTTCCAAGACGGAAAGTTTACTCCACCTTTTGAAAAGTAGGGTCAGGGAGCCAACTTCCTGCTCGACACCAGCTAACCCCGCACTGCGTCTCCGGAACCGGGTCCTCCGGAGCAGCCCAGACAGGACAGGAGAGTGAAGGCCCTGGGAATGGGACGTACAGATGATCCCCCTGCCGCCCCCGCGCGCGCACCCCACTCTGCCCCTCCTTTGCTTTAGGGCGAGAAGGGATCCCAGCTCTGCCCACCCCCAGCCCGCGCGCCCCCCGCGGTCCCCCTCATCCGCCCACAAAACCCCTCGAGGGTGCGGACCCGTAGTCCACGAGCGGCTGGAACCAACCCCCCAGTACCTGCTCCAGAGGTCTCCTGGTCGCCCCCCGGGTCATCCGGAGGGTCCCCGACACTACATAGCTCTCTCGACCACACGATTTTCACCGACTTTACTGGCCTCGGACTCTGCGGGCCCCCTGCCACCCACCTCCCCACTAGACCGCGCCAGCCTTCCAGGACATCCAGTATATTGGGGGGGGGGGAGAATACTGCGGGGTGGCGGTGAAAAGAGCCCTTGCTGGGGAAGCCAGCTCCCCTGTGGCGGCGTCAGGGTCGCTTGCTCTTCGGCTTTTGACTCTCCGTCTTCTTGGGCAGCAGCACGGCCTGGACGTTGGGCAGGACGCCGCCCTGCGCGATGGTGACTTTCCCCAGCAGCCTGTTGAGCTCCTCGTCGTTGCGGATGGCGAGTTGCAGGTGGCGCGGGATGATCCTGGTCTTGTTGTCGCGAGCGGCACTGCCAGCCAGCTCCAGGATCTCGGCCGTCGGGTACTCCAGCACCGCCGCCAGGTACACGGGCGCCCCGGCGCCCACTCGCTCCGCGTAGTTACCTTGGCGCAGCGGCCTGCGCCCTCGGCCCACCGGAACTGCCTCTGCCACTTTGCTGGCACTGGGCCGCGCCTCCCCATTGGACGCAGCGACATCTGGGGCTCTGGGACCAATGACGAGCAGGCTCCGCTCCCAACCAGCGCTCCGGGCACAGGCACCTCCTTCTCCAGCTCTGTCCAGTCAAAGGAGCAAACTCCCAGCCCTCATTTACAAAGCCTCTCCTATGAATGCCGGGGACCCCAGCGCCCCGCATTCGGAGCCTCCGTTGACTTCACTGGCTCCTGAGGTGTCAGGGTCCAAGTTCGCCCCTAGGAAAAGGACGTCTTAAGAATTAAGGAACCACGGTTAAGAAACTGCAAACTCAAATAAATAAATAAATAAATAAATAAATAAATAAATAAATAAATAAATAAATAAATAAAACCTAAAATCAAAAAAAAAAAAAAAAGAAAAGAAAAAAGAAAGAAACTGCAAACTCCGGAAGAGCCACCCCGTACAAGTATAAAGCACTCAAGCACTTGAGGCTGCAAGTTGAGCCCCACTTCCCCACGGTGGCCTGCCCGCGAGGCGGATTTCCTTGCACCGTACAGCACAGCAGCATCCTAGGCAGCTAGTTAACCTGACTCCAGACACCGCGCTTGGGGACGGGGGGGGGGGGGGGGGCGGCAACAGTGCCCCTCTGCCTGCCATTTCTCTAAACCAGCGCCTGTCTCCTGCGAACCCAGATGCTCCTTTTGCCCAGCAGTGTGGAGAGCGGGCTCCGAAAGATGCCTGGGACTGGCCACCTGAACTTTCTCAACCAGACCAAATGACACGGGGCTCCCCGCGTGCCCTGCCGCTCCCAGGTTGCCAGTATTCGCTTCTGCGAAACTAGAGCGCTGCACTAGACGCCAATGCTCTCCTCACAGACTGCAGAACAAGCTCGCGTAGCCAGAACTCAGCGTCTCTTGTGTTCGACGTTGTGAGCCTGAAAAGTCTCTGGATGCCAGGGAGAGGATGCAGGATCAGTCTCTGAGACACAAAGTCTTGGCCTTGGCTTCCTCCTTATTGATCACTGCGGGGTTGACCATGTTCTCCACGGAGACTCGGAGCCCCGAGGTAAATTAGGTCGCCTAAGACTTTGTGGTGGCACTCGGTGGTCCCTTTTTCCAGCTCTCTACTGCCCCTGCGGCGCTCAGAGTTCATGAAAAAGACAAAAGGAAGAATAGTAGCAACCGTCCTTACCTAAATTGCAGAGCCAGAGCATTAGGAACAAAGTAAGGTTGTTTTTGTTTGTTTGTTTGTTTGTTTGTTTAGGTTCATTTATTTATTTATTCATGAGAGAGACACAGAGAGACAGGCAGAGACATAGGCAGAGGGAGAAGCAGGGTCCCTGCAGGGAGCCAGATACGGTACTGGATCCCAGGACCCCAGGATCTCGACCTAAGCCAAAGGCAGATACTCAGCCACTGAGCTGCCCAGGTTTAAAAGTAAAATTTACCCTCCCACCATCCTAATAAATACTTTATTTCAATGAAATCACATTTTCAGTGATTTTTGTACATGCCTTACTGCCTACAAAAATGATTAGCCTATGTATAGTAGGAACTCAACAAACGTCTTTAGAGTTGAGAAACAGCATATTGTCATAATTAAGTCATCCTGGAGCCAGATTGCCTTGGTCCAAATCCAGGCTCTACCACACTTACCAGCTGACCTTGGATAAGCTCTGTAGCTATCCCAAAATGTAATTTTGAAGATTAAATACTTTAGTAAGCATGTAGTAACTGCTAGATAAACCGAATAAATGACATACAGATGTCTGATGCAGTTATTAACATGTTTCTGACATGAGCTTTGTAAATTTCAAATTTTTGCTATCAAGGAAAACTTTTAACAATTATTTTTGCTATTATTTGGGACACTTTTTCCTTTTATTTTTGTAAACAAGATGGATTTCTAACTTGAAAATGTTCTAGGTGCACCTGGGTGGCTCAGCGGTTGAGCTTCAGCCTTTAGCTCAGGTGGTGATCCTGCGGTCCTGGGTGGAGTCCTGCATGGGGCTTCCCACGGGGAGCTTGCTTCTCCCTCTGCCTATATCTCTGCTGCTCTCTCTCTCTGTCTCTCATGAATAAATAAATAAAAATCTTAAAAAAAAAAGAAAATGTTCTAACCATGACTTTTTAGTCTTAATAAATGTAATCAATCAATTTACGCTTATTAGAATTCTGATCTCTTCCAGATCTGATAGACTTTTCTTCTTCCCTGGGAGTCAAAGATGAAAATCATGTAGTACGATATGACTATTTAGGATTCTTCGTAGCCATACAAACAGTATTCTGGGGCTTTATTATTTTTTTTAGAGTTTTTTAGAGAGCACACATGTGGGTGGGCAAATGAATGGAGGAGCAGGGTGCCTGGAGAGGGACAGATGGACTCCCTGCTAAAGGCGAAAGTTGGGTCTCCATCTCACTTCCCTGAGATTATGACCTAACTGAAATCAAGTGTGGGAGGCTGAACCAACTCAGCCACCCAAGCACCCTTCTGAGGACTCTTTTATCTTTGTTTTTTGAAAACTCTATATATTTATTTGAGAGAGAGAGAGAGAGCAGAGGGAGAGGGACAAGCAGACTCCCCGCTGAGAGAGGAGTCTGATGTGGGACTGGATCCCAGGACTGTGGGATGACAACTGGATCCAAAGGCAGACACTAAATGGAATAAGCCACCCAGGCTCCCCTCTTTAGTAAAAGGAGTACTTTCTGTGTTATGCAGATGGGTAAGGATGGGTAAATCATAAGCATTTACACACATATAGATATTAACTATAAAACTTTTCTGGAAAGGCTTACCTTTCAAGACTCCTGCCAGGGAGCGGACGGAATTCAGTAGTATTCCCTCCTTCAGATGTTAAGTGCCGGAGAAAGAGTTACGAATCATCCTCTAAATACTGGCGCCTTTTATTGCAGTAAACCCTTTTGGGAAGACAGAGTCCTGTAACCTAGAGCGGTGACATTACTGAAAGTTTCATTTTTGTTCAGGGGTTCTCTTAAAAAAGGATGGAGAGCCTCGTAATGGGTGATTTGCAGCACAAATCACTCTTCAAAGCTACCGTGGAGGCGTCTATGATCCTAAGAACTTTGAATTTGTAAGTAGATGTGAGAACCTCGGGTTTGAATGCAGTGAGAAGTTTACAATATTTCATCTAAATAACCATAGAAATCGTTACTTGGTTGAAAAGCAAATATGCACGGGTTTGGGGGAATGGGGGGTGCGCACAGGAGGCCAGATAATCTGCAAGTGGCGCACAAGCCGCTGAAAGGGAAAAGTCTGGGAGAGGGGAGGGAGGAAGGGGTAAGGTCAGACTTTTAAAAATCATCTTAATTCTCTGCGGGGGTCACAAAAAAAGAGAAAAAGAGATGTCTTAAAAAATTTCCTCTCCCTCCCATTGCTGACTGAAGATCCACGGATGAAAGAAAAGGTGTAAAACAATTGCTTTGAAAGCCAACATGATGTCACGCACTTCTGGTTACTGTTTATCTCCATATTAGTGTAATGGAGTAGCATCGTGAAAAGAAGCGATGCTTTTGAAAAATGATTCGAATTCGCGCGCGAGATGGGGGTGGGAGGCGGTGGGAGGGAAGGGAGAGAGGAAACGAGCGCGCACAGCATCTGGCTTCTTTTTATTGAAGGGCTGAGAAAGCGCGATAGACACATTCCAGGGACTTTTCCCTCCATTTTGCGGCAAGAATTAAAAAGTCTCTCCAAGAAAGCAAAAAAAAAGAAAGAAAGAAAAGAAAAAAGAAAAAAGCAAAGTCAGGCTTGTCCCGCCTACGGCTCCCTGGCTCGCCATTGGAGGGGGACGACGTCTCCTGGGGCCGCGAGCCCCGCCCACTCCTCGAGGTCCTCAAACAGGTCCGCTCCCAGGGAGTATAAGCCCCGGGCTACGCCGGCCCGACGCCGGTCGCCCGCTCGTCCGCGGACCTCGGCTGCTCCCGAGCCGCGGGCATGTCCGGGCGCGGGAAGGGCGGCCAAGGGCTGGGCCAGGGCGGCGCCAGGCGGCTGCGGAAGGCCCTCCGGGACAGCGTCCTGGGCATCACCAAGTCCGCCATCCGCCGGCTCGCCCGCCGAGGCGGGGTGAAGCGCATCTCTGGGCTCATCTACGAGGAGACCCGCGGGATGCTCAGGCTGTTCCTGGAGAACGTGATCCGCGACGCGGTGGCCTACGCGGAGCACGGCAGGCGCAAGACGGTCACCGCCATGGACGTGGTGTACGCGCTCAACCGCCAGGGCCGCACCCTCTACGGCTTCGGCGGCTGAGCCGCGTCTGCCGCTCCTCTCCGCACTCCAAAGGCCCTTTTCAGGGCCCCCGGAACGTCAGGGAAAGAGCTGGCGCTGGCCGCTGCTGGGCGGGGGTAGGGCGCTCGAGCACGCCCTGCCGCGGGCGGTGGAAGCTGCCGCCGCGGGGGGCCGCGGGGGGCTGCGGGCGGCGGGCTCGGGGCTCGGGGCTCGGGGCTCCGGAGGGGGACGTGTGAGCGGCTGCCGGACCCGGAATGCCGACCCGGCGCCGCTCGCGGGGACGTGGTGTGGGAGGTGCGGTGCCGCGTAGAGCCCGCGCCCTGCCCTGCGCGCGCAGCCTGCGCTCCCGTCCTGGCTCGGGCTTGCACCTGCGGGAGGAGGCAACCCCCAGGCCCCGAGCGCCGGCGGGTAACGCAGGGCTTCTAGGGAGCCGCGGGCTCGCGCGCCGAGCCTATACGAGGGCTCCCATGCAAATCAGGGCCAGCTGGTGCCGCCTCCGATTGGACGGGAAGCTCGCGCGTCACGGGGGGCGGCTCCGGCTCCGCGCGCTGCCCGGGCCCTAGAAGGCGGAAGCCGGGCGGCGCGCCAAGTGCCGGGTCCTGGGCCGGGGCTGCGCCCCGGGGCGCTGCCGAGTGCGGGTGTTTTGTCTTTGCGGACGTTTGAGGAGGAGGTGACCCAAGCTGGGACGCTGAATGGAGGAGGCAGAGGCGGGCGAAGCCGAAGGGGGGGCCTAGTAGCGCGCGGCCTCTGCAGGACGGGGCGGTGAGCGGCCCCGAGCTGCGGAGCGTCCCGGCACGAGTCCCCGGCGGCGGTGCCCGAGCCCCTTTAATTGCCTGTTGATCCCTTAGGAAAGTCCTAGTATTTAAGGCCGCCAGCCTTTAGCTCTGGCTGAGGCTGCAGTGCGGAAGGAACGTGGAGTCTCTTGGCCGAGTCAGCCACGCCTTGAGGCCAAAGATGACCCCGAAGAATCTGGTCTAAGCCTCCTGCCTGCCCCACTTTAGCTTCAGCAAAAAAAAAAAAAAAAAAAAAAAAAATTACATTGTCAGAGGACGGTATAAGAAAGCAGGCTGAGACTTGGTTCCGCATCTCCTGGTCAGGCAGTGGCTGCATTTCCACAGCATATAAGAATATATTTTATATATTTGTGCATGAGTGTGTATGTACATATATAAACACATCTATACGTGTATATATATACACACAGACACACCTATATAATATACACATGTATATATTTATATATATATTTATATATTATAATAGAATATATTTTGTGTACCTTTTAGGCCCATCTTACATTCGTTTTTATAATCAGCCATTTGTTTTTAGAAATTCCTCCACTTTATCTCTGTAACATTGTAACATCTGAATCCTAGAAAAATCAGCAAATAGCAATGAAATACAATAGCTATTAAATGAAACTAATGCCCTTTCCCCGGATTCTGGCTCAATAAAACAGCAAGAATACATCATTGCTTTCTAACCTATGCCATTTCTCACTGCTCCTTATTCATTATTTTCTCCTTATATTCCTGTTTGGTATGTACTGGGTATAGCCAATGGTGTCCTACATTTCTCTGAGACTCTCTTCATTTTTCATTATTTTTTTCTCTTTTCTTTTTTCTCTCTCTTTTCTTTGGAATGCATAATCTCAATTGATCTATCTTCAAGTTTATTGGTTCTTTGTTCAGATCTATACTGAGCTGCTCTAATGAATTTTTCATTTGCGTTGTCCTTTTTTTTTTAAGATCTTATTTATTCATGACAGAGAGAGAGAGAGGCAGAGACACAGGCAGAGGGAGAAGCAGGCTCTGCAGGGAGAGACCCATGCGGGACTCCAGGATCACACCCTGAGCCAAAGGCAGCCGCTCCCACCACTGAACCACCCAGGCAGGCGTCCTGATGACCCTCTTTTAAGGACTCTTGTTCAAATCACTGCTGATCCCCTCATGCTTGCTCTTCCAGTTTGAAGGAAACTCTGTCTGTACAGATATCTATACCTTAGAGAAATTATAGGAACCTGTGAGATTGTAAACAAATTAAATCCTTATCCTTGGGCAGCCCGCGTGGCTCAGCGGTTTAGCGCTGCCTTCAGCCCAGGCCGTGATCCTGGAGACCCTGCGTGGAGCCTGCTTCTCCCTCCGCCTGTGTCTCTGCCTCTCTCCCTCTCTCTCTCTCTCTCTCTCTCTCTGTATCTCTCTGTGTGTTTGTGTCTCTCATGAATAAATACATAAAATCTAAAGAAAAAAAAATCTTTAAAGTCCTTATCTTTTCTCCCTCCCTGTGACCCATCGGTGTTCAGAAACTCGCAGTGAGTTATCTCTTTTCTTTCTTTCTTTCTTTCTTCTTCTCTTCTCTTTTTCTAACGAGTTATCTTTCTTTTATGGCAATTGCCAATCATCTGCTTGAGGTCTGTTCGGTGGGAATACGTTCTCATTGTACCCGGCCCCTGTTGGAAGGATCCCTTGGATCACCAAGGCCTGCCTGCCTCGAGGGCAACGGCATCAGTTTTTCTCTTCTCTCCTCTTCCTCCCCCCCCCCCCCCCGGCCCATTTTGTCAAAGGGATCTCTACTCCCAAAATAGGGCTCACGACCCTCAGGTCAAGAGTCGTGCTCTGCACTGACCGAGCGGGCCAGGGGCCCCTGGAATCGCATCCTAAGACTCGGATAGGATCAGGCAGCCTGGAGACACTCAGATCCACCTCTCGGGAGCCGGCCCAGCCCCTCGGAAACCCTGAGCCTGATCCTTCCTTCCAGAGGGCGCCCCGGCCTCACTGGGCGAGTCAAGAGCGCCACCTGCTGGCGGACGAAACCGAGAGTCACCTGCTCAAACCCAGCGGCCTCCCAGGTGCCCCCACCGGCTGCTTGGAAATGCCGAGGTTCTTCCCTCTGGCCTTGCTTTTGCAGGGATGACGACGGTGAGTGACCGCGTCTGTCTACCTGGCGAGGAAGAAACAATTCCAGGAGGCTGAACCCTGGTTCTCCACACTGCAGACGACAGGATATCACCCCCTCCCCCTCTTTCGACCTGACCCAGGAATTCCCTTGCTCTGAGCCAAGGACAGGGTGGGGTGGTGGTGGTGGGGGGTCTTGTTGTTGTTGTTTTGTTTTGTTTTCCCAGTTGTGGTAAAAGGAAAAAGAGACGTCACCTACAATGGAATGTTGTAGTCGTTTCTTTTTTTAAAATAATATTTTATTTATTTACTCATGAGAGACACAGAGACACAGACACAGGCAGAGGGAGAAGCAGACTCTGTGCAGGGAGCCTGACGTGGGACTCGATCCTGCGTCTCCAGGATCAGGCCCTGGGCTCAAGGCAGACGCTAAACCGCCGAGCCACCCGGGGATCCCTGGACGCCCAACCGCTGAGCCACCCAGGCGCCCCATACATACTAAGTTACTGAGAGTTCGTTCCTTCATTGTGCATCATCTCTAGACCCAAGGAAGGGCTCGAACTCACAACCCTGACTGCAATCAAAAGTTGAGTGCTCTTCTGACTGAGCGGGCCTGCGGGGGGGGGGCGAGGGGGCTGGGGGGGGCGGCGGGGCCGGGAGCTTCTGCCCTTTCCTGTTTTCAAGCTCAGAGTCACGTTTTGTCCGGGGAGGGCCCCACCCCCAACCCCTCCGTGCGGAGGTGCCGTCTGTCGGGCTGCGTCATGTTTGTCCATCTTCCTTATTCCTTTTAGTAGACCGAAGGTGGCTTGTGACACAGCCGGTGACTACTTCGAATGAGACTGAGGATTTCCCTTGGGAGGTGGGTGCGAGAGGGAGGACAGGTCGATGGGGCACCAGGAAACTGTTGGGCCGTCGCTTTAGAGGACAGAGTGTGCTTGTTGGGCCCTCACCCAGGGTGGGTGAGTCAGAACTGTCCCTGGCCAGGCCGCCCTTAGTCCTTCGCCCTTGTCACTCCATGCCCGTGTCTGGCCTCTGGACCCTAAGACACCGCGGTCCTGCGTTTAACTCCCCATCACATTCACCAGACCCCGCCATGCCACGCCCTCCCAGGCGCACCCCCACCCCTGGAAGGCATTAGAGTGGGATGGCATCCTCCACATCCAGGATTGATTCCCAGAGGGTTTATTGCGGTTTCCTGGGTCAGGAAACCAGGAGGGGTCGCTTTTGGACCGCAAACAATGTGAGTTCTTCATACATCCTCTTTGCCCTTCTCTTCCCCCTCCCCTCCCCTCCTCTTCCTTCTCTTTTCTTCTCTCCCCTCCCCCACAGTTTGGGAGCCTGAGGGTTGGGGGAGGTGCAGAAAGCCATCCAATGGAGAGAAGTTCCAGGCTCGGACTTTAACAGACGACCGTGTGCATTTGAATGAAATGATTGAATGGGGGCCATTGGAATGGATGGCCCTGAACCTCCCTTCTGCCGCCCTGAACCTCCCTTCTGCCACCTGCCACCCTCCATCCCCACCCCCTAGGAACCTTGAGTCCTCTGGTGGATTTGGGAGTGGAAGGTGTGTATGTGTGTGTGTGTGTGTGTGTGTGTGTGTGTGTGTTTACACGGACGCACCCGCGGAGGGTGGTGGGGCCGGCTCACGTTGGCTCCTGCAAACTCCATTCATTCTGGGAATGTTCTGTTGTTTCTGCTGAGTTGCCAGTTGCTGCGATGAGCCAAGCTATACTCCTCCCGTTGCCTAGTTCTTAAAAAGGCCGAGTCTCCGGTTTTCTCGGTGAATGGACTGACCCACACCTTCCCATCCTGCCGGACCCCTTCTGCAAATACTTGCACTCAAAGGGTTCTTTCACCTCGTCCAGAAAACAAACAACAGCCACCCACACCCACCCCATTGCCACAGATACGCAACCCACACGACAAAACTCCAGCTGGCCTCCTTCTGCCTCCATGTACTTTAGAGAGTCACTGTCTTAGACATGCCTTAGGCTCAAGGACTTGATGCTGTCTCCCTTTCTGTGGCACGGTCCCATCCCCCGTAGGCCCAAAGTAGAATTGCATGACCACACTGCTCACGGGAGCTGGAGAAGATACGCTAACGTGACCGACCGGATGGGAGCACTG